TGAGTTTCATCAGTTCTCCGTATATTTTTGTGATCAGTCCTTTATCGCTACTTTTGTGTGAGAAAATGTTTTCCCAATTAGTGATCTTTCTTTTTGTTTTTAGTAATGTTTCTTTTGCTGTACATAAGTTAAACCAGAAATTTTTTTTAGATAAAACAAAATTACTGTGTAGGAACATATATTCATGTGTCATCTTTTAAATATCCACATTATAAGTCCATTTGCTAATATTTGCTTAGTTATAATATAGATTTAGGACCATAGGAAGAAATGATTATTAGAAATTAACACTATAAATTCTCTTTCTCTTTTTATTGAGGTAACATTAGTTAACATTGCTGTACCGCTTCCATTTTCTCACTTTGCCTGCCACCAAATGTCCATTTGTTACAGGGAAGGGAGAGGAACAACCCAGAACTCCCAAACCTGCTTGTTCTAAACAAGTTCTGCCATTCTCTGCATCAAGACAAAACTTATCCTAATGCATAAGACCTTCAATGAAAAGAAACTTTAATATAATTAGTGTGCAGTATAGAAAAGGGAAAGGATGGGAAAGAATATGGTTTCCAAACCAAGCACCTGAGGTTACCCACCCCTTGTGGGTAAATGTCCAGCCAAACAGGATTGGCCCAAAGCAAGGCCACTGAGGTCCAGAAAGCCTGCCAAAAGTCTAAGATACCTCCTGGTGGAGATTCATAGAAAAGGATCAGAAACAGCCAGACAGGCCTGGGAGGAAAAGAGCAAAATCAAAATCATGTTGAACACTGCCATTGTTAACCCCTCTCACTGCTAAGCTTTCTTGATAATCAACAAATGGTGAAATAATGCAGTATTTGTCTTTCCTGATTTATTTTACTTGGCATAATCCCCTTGTGGTCCATCCATGCTAAATGGCAAGATTATACCTATCTTTTTCAAAATAAATCACTTATACATCAGCAAATGAACTATAATGTGGACATTTAAAAAGTGATCCATAAATATATGCTCCTACTTAGTTACTTTGGCTGAATAGCATTCTGTTGTATATACGCCACATCATTTTTTATTGCTTTGTTTTGACCAAGTAAAATTTAATTAAGTGATAATTTATAAAAAGAAAAATAATCCTTAGTGAGTACACCCCCTACCCCAACCTGGGGTAAAATTTCTCTCTCTCTCTTTTTTTTTTTTACAGCACATCTTTATCCTTTTTTAAATCATTCCACTTGAGCTGTTTCCGTATCTTTGCTCTTGTGAATAGTATTGCAAGGAACATAGGGGGTGTATATGCCTTTTGAGTTAACATTTTCATATTCTTGAGTAAAGACCCAAAGGTGGATCATATGATAGTTTTTGAACCTCTTTTAATCTGTAGATTCATTTTTTTCTTACAGTTTTCATTTGTTCTTATTGTTACTAACAAAAATGGAGTCATCTGTCATGTAGAAGTTACTGTATTTGTATTTGTTGATTGTTCTTCTTTTGTGTTGTTGTTTAATGTATTCTTCTATCTCCGGGATACTTCAGAGGTGAGTTGTATGCTTCCTGTTACATCATATCAGTAGTCAGTGTCAGGTCTTCTGTCTTTTAGTGAAGTTAAGATTGATTATTGGGGAAAAGAAAAAATATAACTATAACATATAACAACTATCAACTCATCCATTCATTTTAAAGCTCTCATTGGTTTTTCTCCTAGGTTTTATCAGTCCATTAGTAGTCATTGCCTAAGTCTGTTATGTCAATGGGTTGTAAGTATACTATTCTAGTTCTGTCATTTCTTCACTGGTATCTTTGTACAGCACCATGTTAACTATTAGGTTATCATGAGGTATGTTATATATAGGACATACAAGCATAATGATTAATATTTTGCTTTACTTACCAGTTTTCAGAATAGAGTTGTTTCCTAATATTTTCACAAGGAGACTAATGAGTTCATTTTCTTTCTTAAAATTTAATTCTGAATTTATAGATTTAACATGTGGTATGTCTTTCAATCACTGCAGTTGTTTTTCTTTTTAATGTCCAAATTGTCCCATCTTTGGGTAGCAGAATTTCTTCAGACTGATTCATTTGGACAGCACTGGAATACAGCAATCTGTGATAAACGTCCTTACTTTCTGGTCTACAATTATGTAACAATAAAACAGAAATAACAACTTGTATTTAGAGTGCTGTAGGAATTAAATGTAATCATAAATACAATACATTTGACACAAGTTGGATACATCATCCACTGTTTTCATCTACTACTATAAGTGATAGTATATTTCATGTCACTTTTGTTCATATAACAATAAGTAGCATTTATTGAGTACCGAACACATGCCAGACAGTATTCTAAACAACTTTACATGGATACTATGAGGTGTAGGTATTGAAATGTAGAAAAGCTAAGTAGTTTGTATGGGATTTTGTGTTGGGCAGTAACAAAGGATTATTGCGGTAGATATATTTTACATCTTTTCAAATAATCAAGACTATGTTTTGTTATACTATCAGAGACAAAGGACGCATGATGACCCAAAAATATAACACGGTAGAAGACTTGCGGTTATTCTTAAATGTGTTTGAAACATTTTTGCCACTAGTTGAGACTTCTCTTGAGTTGAGGGGTTTATGATTTGAGTAAAATCCTTGTTATTACAATCAAAACAGTTTTTAATGACAAAAGAAAAATTTCCCAGTCTTCTCTCATCACTTTGTGCCACACTTGAAAGTGTTTATTTGGTTTCCACAGGGTCGAAATCTGGCAGATCTACGCCGTAGCCAGTCTCGGGGCACATTCACCATTAGCACTACTCTTCGGTTGGGTAGACAGATTCTGGAGTCTATTGAGAGCATCCATTCTGTGGGATTCTTGCACCGAGACATCAAACCGGTAGGGGGCTTTTCCAGTCAGTGCATAGAATGAGTTTGCATGGTACTCCTAAATTCTTCTAATTGGACACAATAAACTACAAATGTAGCTTTGTATATTTGCTATGATTAAATGCAAAGTAGTATTTTTATTTCTTTGGAAGAAAATGTAACTTTCTGTTTACTATTTACAAAAACAGTTACAAACTACAGTTTATATTCAACAAAAGGGTTGCTCAGCAGCCTTTAAAAATGATTAGTAATTGACAGCTACATTATGTGTGTTAATTGCTAATAACTTAGCCTTACAACTAAAGTCAGTTATTCTTTGGATTTAATTTTCCTGCTGTTGTTTTTAAAAATATACATATATTGTTTGTAGATGTTGGCATTATATTCTTTGAATTACTTCTCAAGTGAGAGAGAAACTGTACTATTAGAAACTGTCAATTGTGAAAGGTCTTATTTTCCTTCTCAGTGCTACTGTAGCAATATATACTGTTCTTTTATATTCTGATTTCCTTAGAAATGTTATTTCTATAACTGTGAAATGCTTTTATTTTACGTTTTTGTTACCCATTTCTAATATAGTGCATTTTTTATAAATTTAACATAAGTTGTTTGGACACCATATCTATCTGTCACTACATGATTTCTAAAATTAGTTAATTTGTGTAAAAATATCAATTAAAATTAACCTTGTGGCTTAGACCTAATGTAATGTAGTACTTCTGTTCTTATTGCAATGCCATTCTAGATATCATTATTTGAGAACTACGAGAAGTTTTAGTTTCCATCAGAAAATTCACTAAATAGAGCTATATTTTGAAATAAAAGTTACCAATTCTATAACTTTGGTTTTTGCCCTTATAAATACCCTTATTACATACCCATCTTTGCGAACTTGTAGCAATTCAATGTTTTATCTATTTTTATTAAAGAAGGAATGCAAGCTACATTTTCCTTAGGTAATCTGTGAAATGCATGTTTAAATTATAATTTTACTTTTATACTTAGTGAAATTCAACTGTAAGATGCTTAAACGAAATTCATTTAAATTTAAGAGGTTTGTACTTTCTTCCATTTAAAAAAGTAGGGATTGCATTATAATCTAAGCAGTGACCTAGAGTAGAATTTCAAGTAATTTAGGACTTCTGATTCCAATTAAATCATTGTTGTGTTGTAGTAACTTTATACAAATGCTTAAATACTTTGCTGTTCAAAGTTTACCTGATCCTAAGCATTAACAGAACTGACAATGAAATTATATATTAATATCCAGTAAAGATCATTGACTAGAACAGTGTATTGGGAACATGTATGATATATAGAATATAAATAGAAGAAAAAATATATAGGAAAGAGAAGATGTAAGGCCTAAGTATTATGAGAATATGTTTGTTTTCTTTCTTTTTTTTTTTTCCTAGTCAAACTTTGCCATGGGTCGCTTTCCTAGTACATGCAGGAAATGTTACATGCTTGATTTTGGCTTGGCACGACAATTTACCAATTCCTGTGGTGACGTCAGACCAGTAAGATTTTCATATTATTATTAAATATTTGAGGATTTAATTAATGTTATTCTTTTTAAAGAAATGGTTAATTATGTATCATTGTGGATGTCATCTAAGAAGTGGCATATAAATTTTATGATTTAATTATAGAATGGCATTTATTTTATTATTGGATGTTGTGGCTTATAAAAACTACATTAGAAGCCAACTTAAAGGGCTCTTATAGTAAGAACTCATACATTAACCCTTAGGATTGTTACTCACCTGACTGGGTCAGTAGCTCAGAAAGCCAGACTTTGACACAGGATTGTTTCCATAAAGGAAGCCCTTTATTAATGGGTGGCACCTGCTATCCTGGAAGAACGGCTGTTAGTGCTCTAGAGAAATTGTCTCTCCCGCTGGTGAGTAAAAGATTATATAGGAGAGATAGGAATGTGAGAAAATGAAGGGAATATGGGAGGGTTTTTTCATCCTCAGGACTGGGAAGGCACAGTCCAGGCTAGGTAGCTAGTGAAAGGATTATTGATGATCTTCCTGGAATAGCTGCTCCGTTCTGTGTTTGCACTTTAAAATGGCCAGTGGGTGGTCATCAGGCACTGATATTATCAGCATCTTTGGTTTCGGTCAAGCAAAGGACTTAGGACTAGGGTTTAGTTTTTGCAACCTGAGGCTCTTAGATTCCATAATTCTTCTGTTTCATTGACTGTGTTTCTCATATACAGAACCCCCATTTGTTTCTTTTTAACATTCTCTTTCCTAGCATTCTCTACTTGATACTACATTATCATCAAACTATCAAGATATCCATTAGTTCTGTGAACATATTTATAATGGTTATTTGAAACATTTCCCTGTTAAATCCGTCAGCTACTCAGTCTCACAGCCAGTTTCCCCACCATTTTTGGTTTATACTTTACTGTTTCTTTACATGACTCATACATTTTTGTTGAAAACTTGGCATTTTAGATCATCTAATCGTTCTTGGTGTTCGCTTTCCAGGACTTGTCATTATTATTTGATGATTTGTTTAATGAAGTTCATTTCTCCTCCTCCCAAAGACATAGTGTTAAATCTTTGTTGTTACTTCTCAGGAAGTGCAGCTTTGCGTTGGCCCACAGTGGTACCTTCTTCACTTTCCCTGTTTGACATACCCAGCTGTTCCACAAATTGCTGGCTGATTGCACTATTGGTCACAGCAGTTCCCTGTGGCATAAATTCCTTGATAAATTGATCAAATTGTAATTTCTAAAATGGTATCAGTTCTGAGGTCAGAATTTGATATTTGTCTTGACCTAACGAAGGCTCCTTCTGATGGCTTGCGTATAGTTTAGGCTATATCTTACGAAGATCTGGGAATCTCCCCCCAATTCCCTTTACCATAGTCTTTCTGAGTGGAGTCTGAGGCTTAATGAGATTAATTCTGTTTGAGATTAGGAGGTATCTTTTTTTTTTTTTTTTAATTCAGACTTTCTTCTGCCGCAAGGCAAAAATCTGTAACCTAGGACTCGAATTGTGGGTGAGGACAGTGGGAAGTTTCTCTCTTAGTGATTTACTCATTTTAGTTGCTGAGCCATGAAACTGAGATGTGTTCCTTAGCCTGGTGTCTTCTTTGCCTCTTCTGGCTTGAAACCACTGCCTCTTGAACTGGGGAGAAGGCTAGTTGGGCTCCAGTATTCTCACATATCTCTTCATTCCATGAGTGTAAGAAAGGAACTTCCACATCTTCAACTATACTTCCCTGGTATTTAGCCTCCACAGCAACTAACAGCTGGCAGGAGAGGAGCTCCCACAGGAAGGAGACTTGGCAGTGAAGGAACCCTGTGCTCTCCGGTGCAGCAGACTTCAGTGGCGCTAATCTGGAAAGGGCAGGGAGGCTCAAATACCAAAGATTCTAGACTTTATATGCAAGTATAAAGTTATAGTTAATAACCCATTGCATCACTAGGTTGGGCCCAAGTAAATCTTTAAAAAAAAAAAGTGGGACACAGAGTCCTTTCCTTCTACCTCTATATTTATTTTCTTAGGTTTCTGTCTCTAATGTTTATCTTCCAAATCATACTGCTTCTGTTTTTGTACTAGTCTCATATGACCACAGTTAGATTTTTTAATTAGTTTTTTTTCCACATTTCACTTGTTCACTTAATTTTTAAAAGTAATATAATAGTTCATTTTTACATCATTTTGTGCATTTTCCCATCTCAGTTGTAATCCCTGTGGACTTCCCAATACCAATTCACCCGTGTGCCATCACCATAGTCCCATGCATTTCCCCCTATTTTGATCCCATTCCCCACTCCACCCCTGTAAAATGTCTCTGGTATATAGTTGTTCATTGTTTTGGTTTTTTTTTTTTCACTTGCTTCCCTCCTGCCCCTGGCCCTTTATGCTCCTGCTATGAATGAAAGCATTTGGTATTTTTCTTTTTGTTTCTTTCTTTTCTTTCTTTCTTTCATTCTTTTGTTCTTTCTTTCTTTCTTCTTTCTTTAAGCATGATCCTTTCCAGTTCCATCCATGTTGCTGCAAAAGGCATGAGTTTATCTTTTTTGATTGCTGAGTATTATTTCACTGTATATATGTACCACATCTTTTTAATCCAGTCATCTACTTTCGGGCATTTGTGTTGATTCGTCTTCCATATTGTAAATAGAGCAGCAACCAAATCTACTCAATTTTTGTGCTGCCCTGATGCTTCTTTCTTAGGTAGCTCTTAGTTTCCAGAATTTCTTTATGCAAATACAATAAATGCAACTTTATGTGCTTACTTTTCCTATTTGACTTAAAAGAAATAGGATATATACATTCTGACTTTTCTTTTTTCACTTAACAGTATATCTAGGGGACCTTCCCACTTTAGAGTATAGCGCGCAGAGCGCTTCTACATTGTTTTTTCAGTTACAAAGTGTATTAGTTATATTGATGTTTTGTCACTTATTTAATAACTTAATCATTCCCCATTGATGAATATTAGATTATTTCTAATTGTAGCTTTCACAAACACTGGTGCAGTGAATGAATTTGTATGACTATTTTTTTGCACATTCAAGTACATACACAAATATATTTGCAGGATAAATTTCCAGAAGTGAAGTTGTTGGTTCAAAGAGATTATATACATTTGTAATTTTAATCGCTGTTGTTTAATTGCTGTTATTTGGGAAACTTTCAAAAGATCATCTATTTCAAGACTCAGTTAAATGTCACCTAGCCTTAAGATTTTCCCTTTTCCCATTAGGCTTTTCTTTCTTGCAAGAAATGGAACTAATTCTTACTGGCCCTAGGGGTTCATAGTACTTTCCTAATGATGTTAATTGTAGTCTGCTTTAGATTAAAGTTATTTGTAAAGATAGCTGTTTTCCTCAGCTGTGTTGACTTTTTTTCCTTGTCTACCTTACATAAGGTGGCTGAGTTTTCTTGACCTGATGTTCTTCTTTGATGAGTCACATCAAGAGCCTCTAAATACCTAATCTCTCTTTACTATGGCAGAAGTCAGGTCAGAGCCAGGCAAGGGATATTCTTAACTGGGAGGTGTTTTCTGGGCTTGCCTTGACTGGAATCCATCAAGGGGAAGTCTGAATGCCCAGTTGACCCTGTACTAGGCTGCAGTTTGGAGATTGTTATCCCGACAGTCTTTAGAATCAAAATAACTTGGCACAAGTATGAGCTACAAAATCATTTTTTGTGTGAGTGAAAGCTCTTGTCAGATAGTGAATATAAATACAATCTCCAAAACATTTTCTGAAAATGGCTGGTAGTAGGCTTTCTATAGGAAATATTCCCTGTAGGAAAATAAACTTCTGACCTAGGATATTCTTGTTAGTCATTATATCTTAGGTAATACTAAGATTTACTATGATTTTTAATGACCAGCTAAAAAAAAATAACAGATTTATATAGATTAGATAAACTTTTGTTTATTGAGACACTATTAAAAAACAGTATCTTTTTTTGTAAATGAAAACATTTATTACCTTTGTATACTTCACTTAGATGCTTAAGAAAACATCCCAAATTTCAAACATTGTAATAAATTTTTATGTATGTAGTTTCTTACTATTGCTGTAAGTTCCATTACTATGTGTAAATAATAAAATAATATTTAAAATAATATTTAAGTTAGCTATTCAAATTACTATATCAGGCACATTATGAGTACATAAAATCTGAACATTCCTTGTACATAAATTAGCAATACACCTAACATCAAGATATTAATATTACTATGTCTGGTTTTATTCTCACAAACTTTTGCTATAATTTTGAAATTTCTAAAGAAATTGTATTCATTAAAGTAATAATAAGGCAATCTTTTTTTTTTTTTTTTTAAGATTTATCTATTTATGCATACAGAACTGGGGTACAGGCCAGAGGTGCAGGGGTGGCGAGAGGCTTCACCAGAGACAGAGTGGGGAGGAGAACAGGCAGATCGAGGAAGTACACTGCTGAGGCGAGCAACGGGTGGGTTAGGAGAGGTCTGCCACGCCATGTGGTCTCCTGCAGGGCAGGTGGGAATTGAACTCATGCGGAAGTTGCTTTAGTTTCTCAGTGTTGTACTTTAATCCGCTGCGCCACCAGGGAGGACCGAATAAGGCAATCTTTTAAAAAACAATATTTTTAAAATAATTAATTCTTAAAACACAAAGCCAAAAGATAATCAAAGGGGCAAGAAAGAATTTCATGAAGAAATAGTTAACTTAAATAGATTAAACATAAATGACAAAATGAGTAAATGGAGGAAGAAGCATATAAAATATATAACAGTTCTGTTGACTATAGATTTTAAAAATAACGTAGTCTTTCTAATTATAAAGATAATTCATGTTAATATCTTGAAATTACTGTTAAAACAATTATCAAGCATCAAATTCGTAAGTTTTCATATTGAACTATAGTGTCATTCGTGAATCTTTAGTTTACTGATCTTGTCAAGGAGTAGAATGGAAGCAACACTGTTTCCATAACACATAATTTGTCAAAAGACCTTCCTTAATGACTTTGTGGCCTAGTAATTCTGTGTCCTT